GGGGGGGGGGGGCTAAATGTCTGTTGCAACAATATCATTACTTTAGAACACACTGCTCATGACTTGCCTTAAAACTTTCCATGGGTATAACATTAAAAAAAAATTTTTCTCGCACTTCAGACAAAATTGACGCTTCCTCGATGAAACCTCAAGAAAATCCTAGATCAACACGAAAATTTCCACATCGAAAAGGAAACCAAGGAACTGAGCAGTTTTGCAATTCAAGGACCGACTATACCTTGATGACTCGGTTAACGGACTCAAATCACTGTAGACGAGACGGAAAGTTGGTCGACTGAAAAATGGGTCAGGCTTATTAATGGAAAATCTGATTGATTGGATCCAAGACCAACCAAACATGTTCCCAGAATTATACTTCAGAAGCCTTTAGAAATGGTCGATGGATTCCGGTTTCCTTCCGGAAATTCTTGATCTAATAACGGAATAAATTTACATTATCTTGGACAGGAAACATCACAACAAATATAAACCCCAGAGGCCCAGAGGAATCTTGGATACAATCAACACCCCAAAAAGCTAAGAAAAAATAAGACTGGCAGCTGCATTGCCGGCATTTCTAATTATTTTGAAAGACAATTCAAGTAGCACGAGTCCATTGTGCAGAGAATACTGTGCATCTCAAAATGAAACAGTCCATTATCCGAGGTAATAATATCCAGGTAGCAATTTCGCGTTGGGAAGTATGAGCACAGACCAAAATAAAGGGGAAAGATACAGTTTACGATTGTTACAACAAATTCAGGGACCTCATAAAAATTCGTTCTGACAAATCATCATCTATAATGAAATTTTTGTGTGGCTGTTTGGGCATTCCGGGTTAAAATTTTACAGAAAAAGGGGATTAAAATAGTTTTGAAGTATAGAACTTCCTCTTGGGCATGCATGCTGTGTAAATTAATATATTATGATCAATTCCTAGTAGTATGAAATAATCCCACCTCCTCAAAGTCACAGTGCCAGCAACATCCTGGTACTATAGCATCCTTGACAATGTCTCTCCTACTCTGATTTACAAAGTAAAACCTTTTGAAGGTTAATTATTATTAGTAGTATACAAGCAGCTGTTCTCTTGATAATCCTTGCCAGTTCATCAGTTGTTTTACTGGAGTTATTCAAGTTATTCCTGCAAGTTGAGTTTGTTGAGTTGTTTATTCAAGTTATTCCTGCAAGTTGAGTTTGTTGGGTTGTTTATTCAAGTTATACTTGGTGGAATACACGTATCCGTTTAAGCAATGAATTCCTAAAAGGAATTCCTGGTCCAGTCCTGGACTGATAGTTGAGTTTCATTATCAATTATTCAACACTCAACATCAAATTATATTGAGGCAACACTTGTCCCCAATACTTCCAAAACAGATACGCAAAGAATTGTCATCATTCATAACTTCTTTTGATGAAATATTGGGAAATTTGAATACAAAGTACCGTAACTAGTATTTCAAACCTCCCCATACTTCAATTTCTTTTGTAAAAAATATTGAGCTCACTGAAGTGAGATGTATTAACAAGCAGGAACTCCCATGTGTGAGAAGAACACTGACACATGAACAACGGTAAGCTCCCTAAAGTAGAGCAATATCCATTCAAACATACTTGAAAAAATCATTTCTGATTTCTAAAATGAAACTTGATAATTTTTCATCTAGAGCCTCATACTTCCTGCAATGCCACATTTATCCACAAAAGAATGCCCACTAAACTCAATTTTTTTGAAGGTTTTTCAATCATGCAAAAGTTGGGTTTTCCCATTTTTGGTAGGAATTTTCTTTGGCCCATGCGCAAATAATGAAGACAAACAATTAGTGTCACTGAAATTATCGCAAAAATTTTTTAAAAACTTAATTATTATAAAACAGCCCCTATGAAGAAACCGCAGGCACAAAATTAACTGCTGTCACAAAAACTTCGACATAACAAGGTTCGTTCTAATGGAATTTTACTGTACATTATTTGACTCCCATGGATGGCGAAAAAAAAAAAACTTAGTAACGTGATACTAGCCAAGGAAGGAAGACAATCATGTCCAGAAAATTCATCCAAGGAATGCCATGCAAACGATGCGTCTTTGAGAGCAGGGTTCAGATATTTGAACAAACGTATCAATTTCCGAACCCGTAAATTGCCTAAACACGTCATCAATCAAAGCAAGCACAGAAAAAAGAAAAAAAAAACGCTACTTGAAAGGCAAAAAGGCATTCAATCAAATTCCTTCGCCTTTGAGTAACCTCTCTCATCCTTCAAAAAAAAAAAAGAAATAACCAAGAGGGAAACAAAAATCTGCTGCGTCATTTCCCTGTCGATCCGTCTTACAATAGAAACCCAGCCAACTTTGCAATTACGCCACAGGTTTTCAAACTGGGCTATCCGTAAAGACTCACACACATACACGAAAGAAACTTTCTCTACTTCGGCAGTCATCCGAAATACTGTACAGGAGGGCAAAATCAAAAGTTTTTTGGAACCCACCTCAAACATGTTAGCTAAGTTGAACAAGGCGGTCTTTTTCACTTCAACAAACAGATGGTCTTGAATAAACACGAAGAGTGATCCAAAATGTAGGAATTAACTTGACCAACAGAATCTAATTCCTCACAAAGGCAAACCTGTAAGAAAATTATCACCTAACCCAATACCCAACACACAAATAGCAAAAACCAACCCTTCGTCTGAAATTTAATATGAAAAAAACTGAAGAATATATTGGCATCTGATTAATTTTAGTGCGTCCCAAAATACATTAATAATGCCTCATGCATTCAGTATCCACCTAGCAACTTCATTGGGCAATAACTGTGTTATCCTGTCTGGTCACCATTTGTTTGGCTTTCCAGACACCCAGGTTTCATTTCTGTTCATGTGCAGTCACATGCCTTTTGCAAGAGGCCCAAATCCATAAAGGTGATGCATTCCATTCTATTGTCACTCATTGCTGGTCAGGACCTTATTACTTTCAAGTCAGAAATATATTCAGTGTTACCTTCTTAATCAAAAAGTCAAGTGTTCTGACACAACCCTGCTGGCTAAAATAAATAATCTTCTCAATTGAATTCAAGTTTTTCCAAATGGTTTGAAGACAGGATAGACATATTGAATTCCGCAGAGAAGTCTGAAGAAGAATTGAAACTATTTTATTGAAATCCCAATGACTAGGATAACAATATGATTCCCTTCAGAGCAGTGTTCACAAACCCATGGTCCACAGACTAGCACTAGTTTGCAGAAGTTGTTTGCTGGTCTGCAGAAAGCATTTGTCAACTTTAAAAAATCAATCAAAACCAGTAATGGAATCTGCTATCATAATCCAAGGTTTTGGAGAGAAAATAGCAGTTGAAATCATCTGATAAAAAAATAAGTTGGCTTTTCCATAGCACTGTGGACAAATGCTCCCCTGCTGAAATGAACTATTTTACTTTTTTATTCCTGACAAGCTTTTCTTCAGGCCAACCTTTACAATTTTTGATGACATTCAGCTATAGCTGCTTCATTGGTGCTCAACTGAATGTTTGAAAAATAGCAGAAACTCTTAAATACTTGCCAGATAGTCTTTCAAAAAAAAAACTTTTGCAAGTCTGCAAAAATGTTATGAAACTTCGCCAATCCGCATAAAATGTTTTGGGGATTTGCTGGTCCATAGTCCAAAAAAGGTTGGGGAACAATGCTTTGGAGTACAAAGAATTTCTGACTGGACACAATTCAAAAAACTTGTGAATAAAAAAAAAAAATCACGCCTACCACTGCAACGAACGTGGGCCATGGAAAAAAATGGAATAAACTTTGAAATGACCCCCAGAAGGAAATACAGATGAGGGCCACCAACCCCTTGACCCCACACATTACGGCTCTCAAATCACACGTCTTCGCATTCTTCTCCCATCAAATCGACCCGGTTTCATTTCCTCTCAGCTCCGAAAAATGACCCGAACTTTCCAACGACTGGAACCAATCCCTTTTGTTTGTATTTTTTGGCACACGATCTCAAAAGAATTTCTGTCTTCAACCGAGAAAGTTCGAAACTGCATTAAAAAAAAATTTTTTTAAACGTATTATCATTCCAAATTCCGAAAGCATTTTCGTCTGAATTTGAGAATCCAGCGCAAAATTACTCATTCACAACTTGAGTTTATCAAAAGTCCGGCTAAATTCACTTTCGAAGTGGAAAATTATACAAAATGCTCGACTATGGATCGAGAGAATTTTGCTTTGAAATTGAGTCCAAATTTGAAGAATTAAATTGAAAAAAATTCCAAAAACAAGTTCATGAAAAAAACTTCGCATTAAAATATTGGGTTTCTCAAAATTCCTGCAATAGTCGCCCGATCAAAAACATTCACATTTTCATCCACTCATACATGGACAACGAAGTCCATCACTCTGGATTAAGATTAATTTTTCACTTCAAAAGAATGATATTTATCTTAAAAAAAAAAAAATTTTGTCCGCCACTGGAGTCAATAAACAATTAATAGAAGTTACATTTAATCTTCTAATATTAGGAACATATTCTTCAAACTCCCGAATAAAATATTAACCCCCCTCCATATTTTTTAGAAAATATTTTGAATCAGACCGGCGGTTCTTTCTAAATGTGTACTTCAAATGCCCCAGGTCCAGGGTTGATGCGAATTGCATCTTGAATTAATTTTCAATGAACACATCAAAATTCTCTGAACGGGCAAAGCATACTTGTATTCTTAAAAATTGGTAAAAATGTGCTGAAAAATGTCCAGAAGTGCCACCATCAATGATTACGATGTAATACATCTACATTTTCGAGAATAAATTGCAGCTATTCACATTCAAATTGCTGAGATTTCGCAGTTTCTGGACTTTTGAAGGCTCTGTCTAAACAAAAGACGAAATATAATGGATGCATATTTACTTTCTGCAAAAGTCTAAATCACTTCCGCCAAATTAAAAAAGAAAACCAATTTCATTGATATATGCATTTTTCTTTGCGAAAATTGGCTGAAAATATCGAGGTATTTCTGGTACTGCAGTTGATGGGAGATTTTTTTCAAGTTCACTATACTCCTGATGGACCAATGCAATTTTTCGAGAAAAATACGAAGTCGACTGCAAGAATAATTTTCACTGGTATAATTTTAGAAAATGGCAGAATTCTTGCATATTTTGGAAGTGTAATAGATTCAGTGAGAAAAAACCGCCACTGGATGTTTCCCAGCCACTCCAAAAAACCTTATGAGAAAACCAAGAAAATAAAAATGAGCCAAAATATAAAAACATGAAAAAATATTGAGATTCCCCTCACATTGAAAGTTGTGAGAAAATTATTTAAATGAAAAAAATTTTCCAGCGTAGGAAATCCCTTCAACGAAATTTTCCTTCTCAGAGCAATCTTTCCATAAAAACGCAGAAGAAAACCTCCAAATATCCACAAATGAGCCGAATTAAGAAACAATATCCCGAACTCTTGAGAAAAGAGTGATGAGATTCCTCTCACACTGAAAATTATGAGAAAAGTATTTTAATGAAAATAAAAAGAAATTCGAAGAAGAGGAAACCCCTTCATTGGATGTTCCCTGGTCTCTCCATAAAAGCTCAGGATGAATCCCATAATATCGAAACGATTCGAAATTCAAAAACCTCCATAGCCCTTGTGAAAAATAGTGACGAAATTTTTCAAAATTTGAAAGTCGCGAGAAAATTGTTACAACGAAAATTGAAAACAAAATTAACAGGGAGAAAATTCGTCAATGGATTTTTCACATTTTCTTCAAGAACTTTAAGGAAAACCCGAAACACATGAAAATGCTTAGTAATTCAGAAAATCCCATCAATCACTTGAAAAAACTGGTGATAAGATTCATCTTACATTGAAGATACTGTATACTTCATAATGAGAAAAGAGTTCAATGAAAATTGATTTTTAATGTTCATAGAGGAGAAAAAAATCGTCTCTTGATTTTCCTTTCTTTTCACAAAATATCACAAGAAACCACAAAAATATACAAATAAGCCGAAGTATAAAAAACCCAATCCCTTAAAAATTGTGATATTACTCTCACATTGACGGTTTTCAGAAAAGCATTCGAATGAAAATTAAAAAAAAAGTTCGATGAGGATCAACACCCTCCACTGGATTTTTCCCATACTCTCCACAAAATCACAGAAAATAAAAGTCATCCAAAATGTCTTTTTTTTAACCAATCCATGAAAAAGTAGTCATGAGATTCCTCTCCCATTGAAGATTGTGAGAAAAGTGTTTGAATGGGGATTGAAAAAAAAAAGTTCTGAGAGGAAGAAAAACCTTCACTCGATACTTCCCAGTCTCTTCATAAAAACTCAGTAGAAACCCACATATATAAAAATGCTCGGAGATTTAAAAAAATCCAATCCATTCAGAAAAAGTTACGAGTTTCCTCTCGCAATGAAGTTCGTGAGAAAAGTGTTCAAATCAAAATAAAAAAGAGAGGGGGAAAAAACTTCACTGGATTGTTTCCCATTCTCCTCACAAAACGACAGGGTAAAAACAAAAACACAGATTGAAATCGGTGGAAGAAAGTGTTCCAATGAAAATATAAAAAATATCCAGACAGGAGCAAAACACTGCGTTGTTTTTTTCTTACATTTTCTTCAAAAATTAATAGAGAAACTCAAAAATATACAGATAATTCAAAATTTAAAACCTCCAATCCTTTGAAAAAAGTAGCAATAAGATTAGTGAGAAAAGTATTTCAATGATAATTCATTTTTAAAGTTCATAGAGGCCGAAAAACCTTCACTTGTTGTTTCCCAGTCTCTTCACAAAAACTCAGTAGAAACCAGAAAATATATAAAAAATTTTGGAGAAAAAAAAAAACCCCATACCCTTAAAATACAGTGCTGAGAATCCTCTTGAATTGAAGTTTTTGAGAATCGTGTTCCAAGGAAAATTAAAAAAAAAAACCAAGAGAGAAGGAAAAACCTTCATTGGATTTTTGTTCCCTATTCTCCTCACAAAAACTCAGTGGAAAAAAATCCCCTCAAAATATATAAAAAAGTCAACTGGAAATGTAAAAACAAAAATTCCAATTCCTTACCTTGATCACCAAGGAGTTTCATGCGGAAGTCAATGTAGCTTTCCCGGTCAGTGGTTCTGGTTCGACGATCCATCAGCCTCACTACTCCTTCCCCAACCACGTGGAAGTAAAGACCTGTCAATGACACACACACACACCAGACATGAAGACAAAAACCGGATCAGTAAAAAAAAAACCCCTCATTAAACCACGCAAAAAAAAACCAACTCGAAGAAATATTAAACCGAAGTTTAAGGCTCTTCAGGTTCACTGGCCCTCAATTCTTCAGTTTATTACACCCCACAGAGAATTGACTATTGTGGATTGGTTTTCGAATCAACCATTGCTGCGGTTAAAATGGGCATAAAAGTTTTGTAATCGTTTCGATTACCAGCCAAAAATCGACGAGGGGTGTTTCTTCAAGGCGCCAAAAGAGTCCTGGCCTTGAATGCAATCATCAACGCATTCACCTGGTACTCAAAAGTACAAGTTCACCGAAACGAAGAATTATTTATGGAATATACCACAACCTTTTTTTTTTTCTTGTAAACCCAACCTAAAATTGTCATATTGATTTTCCCTCCTAATTTCAAAACTTTAGTTCGAATTGAAATCGAATTGATCTTTTACTGTAGCATCTTCAACTTGAGATGCAATTAATCTTTTGCATCTTTTACTTGCAATCGCCTCAGAATTTTATACTGTATTTCGAAGTATGATCCAATTATTTCAAATTTTTTGAAGTAAATCACGAAAAGGGAGAAAATTGACATCGATTCAAAACAGATATTTTATATTTTCAAAGAAAACATTAGAAAAAATGTTACTTTTAAAAAAGAAAGCCCCTGACCCTGACACGAAATATGGGATTTTTTATTAGGAAAAAATGCCAACTCACTGTATATTTATGAAAAAATTATCATCATATTCAAATCAAAAAAGGTTTTCGTGACACGATTTTTAAAACACGTATATACCTTGAAGGATTCCTGCCAGGACTCCAAAAACACTTTGTTATAGTGAAATCTTGGTACAACAAACTTGTGGGTACTCAGAAAATTTTTTTTATAACAATGATCTGTTATAATGGATTTTTGAAATTTTTGACTGATACGAAGATTTTCTAAAAATTAGACCTGCATAAATTTAACATCATCTTTTTGTAACCTCTTCAGCTGTTTTCAGCATTTAAAAAACTACCATCTTCAAAGAGAAGTTTAAATTTTAATGACAAACAATTATTCTGAATAACTGGTCAACACGAGCACTTTCTGTTGATTAATTTTTTCCATGCAATTTATAAGGGTGGATGTGCCAAAAACGCTCACAATTCTCAAGCATACAAACCCAATTCAACATGAGTTTTTTTTTGGGTTCATTTTTTCCCCCACCCTGTTTCCTAACCAAAGAAAAAATTTGGAAAGAAAAATGGTTCATGTGGATTTTGAATAATTTTTCTCCTTGATTCCACCCTACGTACAAAGAACCAGTCACAGTCCCATTTTAAATGCGAAATATAAGACTGTACCTGCATTCCTTGGGGATTTTTCTGTCAAGAAATCACATGTTCCTTAAAAAGTTTCTTATAATGGAATTGACAAGTTTGTTATAACAAGATTTTTTTATAACATGCACCCTTTAGGATTTCTGCCTGGACTTCGAAAAAAAAGGTTGGTATTCTGAAACATTTGTTGTAATGGTATTTGTTGTAATGAGACTTTACTGGATACTGAATTTTTTTGGAATGGTACTTGTTGTAAAAAGATTTTACTGTAGTTTCATTATTTTTTCCACGTCCCCAAGAGCTTCGTTGTAACAAGAATGTTTCTTGTACAGTATCACACACACGGATCTCTGTAGTAAACGAGCCCGTCTCGACCCGACCTCAATATCATCCACCCACTGCCTCATTAAAAAAAAAAAAGCAGTGAAAAATTGATTCAACCAGGCCTCACACAAACCCTCCTTCTTCTTCTTCTTCTACCAAAGATCCTGATGAAGAAGATTATACCCAGGTGTCAACTGACCCTCGCCTCCACCACCGAGATTCCTGATGTGAGACTATCACGACTTCGCAGATCGCGTGTCGAGAAGATTATAGAATACATGCATTAAAGAAAAAATGAGCAAGAAAGGACTGACTGATGATGGGACAGGACATGGACTGACCAATAACGGGAGTGTCCTCTTCCAGCTCAACCAGGACACGGCCTGTGACGAACTGCCCAGGAAAGTACAGCAAGCTGGAATTGTCGAAGAGAATGAGGAATTTCTGGAGCTTCCGCGGCGCCTCAGGCATCCTCGTCGTCACCACCGTCATCCTGGCGTGACCCAGTCTCTCTTCCTCTTCTCAATATATATTTATAAATATATATATATATAAATATATCTTTCACCACCTGCTTTATTATGAGGTCCTGTGTCTCTCTCGCTTTCGTCGTCACTTCCTCGTCGTTTTCCGAGCAATTTCACGTCCCTTTAATGGCTGCTGGCACACGTTTGACGACTCACTGATGGAATGCGCGCGACTTTCCTTTCTTGAGAGAAAATTAACACCGGATGCCCAGGACTGGACAGAATAACAGACGTGATCGTCAAGGTTGCACCCTTACGAACACCATTCTGAGCACTCGACACTCGTCATCACATTCATACATTTGCAGCCAAGTACCTGTTGATGGGGAAAATGGATTGAGAACCATGACACATGGAAGGGGGTTAGGAAATTAGGTACTGAATGCTAATTGATGCATTCGCGTGTAAGATTCCACAATTCTTGCATCGTTTGAGTCGTTAAGATGCTCCTCTTATTGCAGCGGTGTTTTTTTTCGGAGATCAAAGAGGTAAATTTTTGAAATTTTGATCCAGTTTCAGTTCAATCAACGTAATAATGTTGGAAATTTTTTCGGAAAACAGTGAGAAGTTCTTCGAAGTACAGACGTTGGTACGGATTTAAATAATTTTATTCCAGGCGATTTTTATATTGAATAATTCAATTAAAGTCGCTCAATGATGCATCGATTAAGATGTTACTCGAAATTCATTCGACTGTAAAATGTACTAGAAATTTTTTTTTTCAAACCAATCCATTGTCAATTTAATGTTGGTTGACAAATATGGCCACAGGAGCACAACCCAAGAACAAGACAGCTTTAACAATGCACGAGCCAAAATTCACATCTCACTCACTCCAAGTACGATCCTAGTACTTTGAAAATGAAGCCCGCACATGATGAATAGCAGGTGTCACCAAGTACCGTCAATTAGCCGCAAAAAATTATCTCATTCCATCGCAGGAGTCCCGAGTGTAACGAAATTAGCGGGAAAAAAACACATTTCAGAAGTCTGAAGAATTCACACGAGATGGGACGACGACGTCGACGATGACACAAGGAAACACGATTCACCGACTCTTGATGAATCTCATTCACGACTATTTTGCCCCCGGGGCAAGTTAATTATTTTGTTAATGCCATGGAAGAGATGGAAATGATGTACCATCACTCCATCGGTCTTCATTATCCGAAAACTTCGTGGTCTGATAATTTTTTTGCTTCTGTCCACAGCAAAAGCTGCGAGTTTGAGAAACGAGTGGAATCTAAAGATGTATCATGCAACAACGAAAAATTCACATTTTCCAAGAACAAAAATCAAAATGCGTCCCGTTTTTTAATTGTCTTCCGGAATTGAACATGCAAATTTTTTTTTCTCTGTGACAAGAAGTATTGTTGGCACTCACTCTTTGGGAAATTTGCTGAATTGTTCATGCAATTCCATTATCATTGATCATTCTTGAAGTTGCGCACTTTACTTGCCAATTTTTGGATATGACTTGAAAAAATTTGCTCTTTTGTGAACATTGTCATAAAAATCCTGTCCTTCCTTCTTGTTAGCATTAGCAGATGATGCTTTAAGCAAGTACCTGTTCCCTACTTCCATGTCCTCAATGATGCACTTTGCCAAGTCACATGTGCCAAGTTATGCAACAATCCTTGAAAGGAGGTCAGATCTGGGTCTGACCATTCTTACCAAATCTTAGACAGCAAATTCTCAACAGCTGACCACATTTCTATTCAAATGCACTCATTGTAACTGCTAGCTTGAAGACAAAGTACATTGCCATTCTGCCTTTGTTGAATATAAGAAAAACACTTACATTCTTTTATAAGAAACTACTGAGGAGTATTCACTTCATGTACATCTGGAAATGAAGAATATAAATCTCCTTGTCAGATGAAGTTTACAAATTATATTGAACAATATTATGTGACAATAGAGTATAAAATATGAAAACTCAGGATACTTTTCAAAATCCTTATATTTTCTGAAGATCTACTTGAAGTATGGCAACAACATGCATTTAAATAATTTTCCTTTGCTCTTTTTAGCACTTTGCTCTTGGGGGAGACAATTTTTAAAATTAAATTTGCCCTTAAAATGCTTCAAATTGAAAAAAAAAACTACTTGAAGTATGGCAACAACATGCATTTAAATAATTTTCCTTTGCTCTTTTTAGCACTTTGCTCTTGGGGGAGACAATTTTTAAAATTAAATTTGCCCTTAAAATGCTTCAAATTGAAAAAAAAAATATGCTCAAGCTGTTTTCATGTTGGAAATTTACTCTTATCAGAGCAAGTTCTTTTCATATCTCTCTCCTCCTCTGAAGCTCAATAAGAAGTAAATTCTCACATCTAAATCCACTTTTCAGAGACTTGCTTTTTCTTAATCCTGCTCTTTTCAATATTTGGCAATTTATTCAACATATATTTTTTTAAATCTTTTGAAACCAGGGCTTTTAATCAGTCCACTACTTCATGCTTCCACTTCTACTACCACTACTGGTAGTGGTAAATCCATACTGTACAGTATATTATTTTGGTACTGGCAGTGGTAGTGGCAAGAAAAAAAAATTGATTGTGGAAGTCATAGTGAAAATCTTGGTGGTGGTCTTGAAAATGTTTCAAAAATATCTACCACTAGGCATTCCTCATAGTGGTGCATCTTTTAAACTGATTTCTAAAATTAGGCATAATTTTCTGAGATTTCATGTGGAAATGCTAAAAGATTCTACATTTTGTTTAAACTTGATAAATTTGAAACACAACTCCACCATTTGAATGTATTTATTCTTCCCAAGTAAAGTGAGTCTTTTCTCCTCATTATTATTTTTTTTTGCTGAACAGGAAAGGATGATAATTTCTTGAACTGAAGGGGGAAGTGGGATAAACCATCCCTTGTTTTCCTGGCTTCCTTCCATCCTCATGAGGAACCAAATGTCCCAATCACCAGCTGTCTATGGAAGGAAAAACCATTTCCTTGCTATAATCGGGAAATAGGTTGTTTTTCCTTGTCTCACCTCCACAGTTTGAACACTCCACCCACAGTTCCACCACAAAAGTCCCACCANTTTTGCTTCTGTCCACAGCAAAAGCTGCGAGTTTGAGAAACGAGTGGAATCTAAAGATGTATCATGCAACAACGAAAAATTCACATTTTCCAAGAACAAAAATCAAAATGCGTCCCGTTTTTTAATTCTCTTCCGGAATTGAACATGCAAATTTTTTTTTCTCTGTGACAAGAAGTATTGTTGGCACTCACTCTTCGGGAAATTTGCTGAATTCTTCATGCAATTCCATGATCATTGATTATTCTTGAACTTGCTCACAATACTTGCCAATTTTTGGATTTGACTTGAAGAAAGTTGCTGTTTTGTGAACAGTGTCATAAAAATCCTGTCATTCCTTCTTGTTAGCATTAGCAGATGATGCTTTAAGCAAGTACCTGTTCCCTACTTCCATGTCCTCAATGATGCACTTTGCCAAGTCACATGTTTTGCCAAGTTATGCAACAATCCTTGAAAGTGAGTTAGATCTGGGTCTGACCATTCTTACCAAATCTTAGACAGCAAATTCTCCACAGCTGACCACATTTCTATTTCAATGCACTCATTGTTTACTGCTAGCTTGAAGACAAAGTACATTGCCATTCTGTCTTTGTTGAATATAAGAAAAACAATTGCATTCTTTTATAAGAAACTACTGAGGAGTATTCACTTCATGTACATCTGGCAATGAAGAATATAAATCTCCTTGTCAGATGAAATTTACAAATTATATTGAACAATATTATGTGACAATAGAGTATAAAATATGAAAACTCAGGATACTTTTCAAAATCCTTATATTTTCTGAAGATCTACTTGAAGTATGGCAACAACATGCATTTAAATAATTTTCCTTTGCTCTTTTTAGCACTTTGCTCTTGGGGGAGACAATTTTTAAAATTAAATTTGCCCTTAAAATGCTTCAAATTGAAAAAAAAATATGCTCAAGCTGTTTTCATGTTGGAAATTTACTCTTATCAGAGCAAGTTCTTTTCAAATCTCTCTCCTTCTCTGAAGCTCAATAAGAAGTAAATTCTCACATCTAAATCCACTTTTCAGAGACTTACTTTTCTTAATCCTGCTCTTTTCAATATTCTGCAATTTATTCAACATATATTTTTTTAAATATTTTGAAACCAGGGCTTTTAATCAGTCCACTACTTCATGCTTCCACTTCTACTTCCACTACTGGTAGTGGTAAATCCATACTGTACAGTATATTATTTTGGTACTGGCAGTGGTAGTGGCAAGAAAAAAAAATTGGTTGTGGAAGTCATAGTGAAAATCTTGGTGGTGGTCTTGAAAATGTTCCAAAAATATCTACCACGCATTCCTCATAGTGGTGCATCTTTTAAACTGATTTCTAAAATTAGGCATAATTTTCTGAGATTTCATGTGGAAATGCTAAAAGATTCTACATTTTGTTTAAACTTGATAAATTCGAAACACAACTCCACCATTTGATTGTATTTCTTCTTCCCAAGTAAAGTGAGTCTTTTCTCCTCATTATTATTTTTTTTTGCTGAACAGGAAAGGATGATTATTTCTTGAACTGAGGGGGGAAGTGGGATACACCATCCCTTGTTTTCCTGGCTTCCTTCCATCCTCATGAGGAACCAAATGTCTCAATCACCAGCTGTCTATGGAAGGAAAAACCATTTCCTTGCTATAATCGGGAAATAGGTTGTTTTTCCTTGTCTCACCTCCACAGTTTGAACACTCCACCCACAGTTCCACCACAAAAGTCCCACCACAAAAAAATAATCTTCCAAAGATTATTTTATATTTCTGCTGCAGAGAGCTTGAGGTGGGGATATGTAATACACCAGAAGGATGACAAAAAGCCTTGAGAAAGGAGGGGGTGAGATGTAGTATCCCATTTCACTCCTAGCTCATTCTGTGTCAGTTCAGCCTTCCACCAAAGTCCCCCCCCCCCC